AAAAAAAAAAAAAAAAAAAAAAAAAAAATATTTCTAAAAACTCCCAAGAAGACAAAGACATTGCTCAAGAGAATGGAGGAATTTCCACCTGAGGCTAGACCAACCTTCCAAAAAAGAACTCATCAGTCTTAAAAGGCAAAGACAAAGACCAAAAAGAAAAAAAAAAGTAATAGCTGCCCTCTCCTTGCTTTTTAATAGTAATGTACTGTTTACAAAGGGCCTGTCCACAAATTATTTAGTTTTCACAAGCACCTGGTAAGGTAGATGGTATTATCCCCAGTTTACAGATGAGAAAGTGAGAATCAAAGACTTCTCAGTAAGCAAAATATCAAGAAATTAACACATACCAGAGCCAGATATTGGATCCAGGTCCTCTGATTTTCTGGCTTTTGCTTAACCACAGCTGCTTTGCTGTGTGTTACCAAAACCCCAAACATCCAGAATAAAATTTCCAGTGGAAATGATAGAGTATGCGTGTTTAAGAATGGGTTACAGACACTAGGAGATGCTAAAGGAAAATGGAGACCCTGGGTGTCAGTCCTTGGTTTTGGTGGTAAGTTGAGGGGCCAATCTGCCATAGACTTGCTGCCCCTGCCAGGTGCTGCCCCCCGGATTTCATGGGAAATTGGCTTTTCTACCTCTCATCTTACAGCTTCTCTGACTCAGCCTTAGAAAGCACCAAATAAAGCTGCACTCTAGCCCCCTAGAAGTCTTTTTTGAGATTATCTGTTCAATTCTCACGTGAACATTCCTGATGCCTTGGGTCTGAATATCATAAGAGTATAAACTCTATTAGTAATGATTGTGGCTTATTCATCTTTATCATATCAGCACTTTGCATAGCACAGTCTAGAAGTGCATTTGAAGGAGGTTGCATTGAAATTTTTGTGGTTTTTATGATTTTATAACTTCGAACACCGAGATGTTTATTTCTGTCCTGACATTTAGGTTGGAGAGACGATTGGCATCAGTGAAGAGATTATGGGTCTGACCATCTTGGCTGCTGGAACCTCCATCCCTGATCTTATCACCAGTGTCATAGTGGCCCGGAAGGGGTTAGGGGACATGGCTGTGTCAAGCTCTGTTGGAAGCAACATTTTTGACATCACAGTAGGGTGAGTAGAGACAGTTCTACAAAGGTGCGTACCAGCTCCACCAATGTATTTGTCTTCCGAGAAGCTGGAGAGACATGACCAGGGTCTCTGAGCCTAAAACTAACCAATACCACTAGAGAGTAAAGACTGAGAATACCTGTTTCCCCAATTCTGTTTCTCATTTCAGAAAACTTAATAAAAAATAAGTCATCCCTACACAAGCGAAACACATACCTCCATACAGAATGGATAGTTTAGAAAATACTTTAGGAGAATTTCACTTACATAACAACATTCAAGTGGGACTGAGATACCGTGATAGCTTCATGATAAAAATGTTCACATTCTAATTTTAATTAAAATCCCCACCAGCCTAACGTAAGATTTGGATTTTAAGGCAGATTGGGACAAACATAGGCCCACCATATATATTCCCATCTCCTGTCCTGTCTTGGAAAATGCTGACAGTCTTGGCATTACCATTTGTTTATCTGTACTGGTGAAGACAGTATAGGTTTTTTGTTTTTCTTTTTTAAGAGATGGAGTCTTGCTCTGTCGCCTGGGCTGGAGTGCAGTAGCACAACCTCGGCTCACTGCAACCTCTGCCTCCTGGGTTCAAGCAATTCTCCTGCCTCAGACTCCCGAATAGCTGGGACTACAGGTATATGCCACCATGCCCAGCTTATTTTTTTTTTTTTTTTGCAT